TGAAGTAGGCAACCACTTTGGCTTGTGTCGTTGTTACGACGCGCACCCCGGCGAACACTTGTGTGGCAACGCTTAAAAATAATTTGCACACCTGTTGTGTCGCTTTTTTTTTTTTGGCCCGATCTGAGCTTCCCTTGTTTTGCCTTCCCCTGCGTTTTATTTTTCTCTTCATTTTTCGTGTTACTGTTCGTTTGCCCGTTGGTTTTTCTCTTCCCTCTTGTTCTTCTCTTTCTCTTCATTTTTCTCCTCCTTTTTTTTTCCCTTTTTTCTCACCTGCACCTTTTACCACCACTTCTTCTCTCCAGTTGCCCCCCTTCTGAGAGCGGCCCAGCCCGTTCAGCCTAATTAAACCATTTTCGCCCTCCATTTATTAGTGCTGGTATGTGTACAGACGCCTGTGCCCCTGCGTAGGTTTCAGTTGCAGTGCGGGGGGTGGCGCCACGGCTAAGCAACTGTGCGGGAGCACGCGTAACTACCACCGCGGTAAGCGCCGCTCCGTTTGGCCCAGTTAGCCACCAGTTTGGCCTCCTTTTCCCGTCCCTTTTAACTTCCTATTTGTCTCCTATTTGTTCCTTATTTGCCTGCTATTTGCCTCCTTCTTGCCCTCTTTTTGCCTTCTTCTTGCCTCCCATTTGTCCTTGATCCCCTTTAAAATGAAATTCCCCCCCTTGTGCCGCATCCCCCTCGCCCTCCTGCTACTATGCTTGATGTCTAGAACGAGATGCTACGTGCATAACGACCTCATTAAGTTCGGGGAGGAGAATTCATTGAAGTAAGTCCAAACGGGTAGCTACCGTCTTAGCGGCGTGGGGCGGATCTACTGTACTTAGCGGAAAAGCACCCGTTTAAGCGGCGTTCTGCCCCCACGTAACGCTGCAAACCCTACATAACGCCACTATCCGCCGCTACCCACCGCTAACCCCCCCCGCAGGTGCTCCCAGGGAAGCCTCTACATCCTGCACTGCGAAGTCAAGTGCCTGAACGACAAGAATCGAATCATCCACAGAAGCTGCATCGATGAGGTGGAAGCCAAATGCATGGGAAATAGGAAGTGCAAATACTACTTCGATTACGTAATGAAGAGGAAAGCGCATAATTTGGGAAGCAAAAACGAAATAGAAATTGAAGAATGCATCGAATCGGAGAAAAATGAGATCAAAACGTCAACAACATGTCTCTTGAGCGAGTCCTTTCTCCTAGACGAGAACTACATTCAGTATTTTTTTTTTATTAAGAATAAAAATGAAGAACCGATCAGCTGTAAGGATGGGAACTTAAACGTAAAGAGCGCAATTTTGCACTTTCCTTTCTGTAAAATTCACTTAAAGGACGTTACGAATGTTTTGAAGAGACAATGCGACAACAATCAGGAATGTGTAATCAATCCGTATGTGTTGCAAAAGGATGCCCTCAATGAGAAAGACCAGTGCTACCTTAATAACAGCTACGTATCGCTGAATGTTGTTTGTACAAAAGAATCGGAGGAACAATCTGGAGATAGCAGCCAGAAGGAGCAGCGTGATGATGGCCTGGAGGAAGAAAAAGAAGGCAACTATGACATCGGCCTGGATAGAAGCCAAGGCGGAGGAGTTGCATACGAAAGTGACGAAACAGATGCGTTCAATAAAGACGACGAACTGAGAAAAACAAATGAAGAAGTAGATCTCATAATGAATAGCAATGAAAGTTTCACAAATAAAATCAAGAAAGCTAAGACGATCCTTTTATCCGAAATGAACCAACAGACAGTGAAGAAAAATGCCATTTTTAAAAAATTAGGAAAGGAACTCTCCAAAATGATCGTCAATAGATATGACCCATCCGATCTGAAAGATCTACTCGAAGACAGATACAATGAGATGAGGAGGAGTCCAGATCAAGATCTGTATTATCTCTACTTATTGGATACTCTAGACATTAACATAATGGAAGACGTTGATATAAGAGTTCTTCAGGACAATCTAGGCATTTTGCTGAAAGAACAAATGGAGAAATTGAATCATGTGGAGAAAAACATCAATAGGTTAAGAAAGAAATATCTGTCTATATATAATAAAGCAAAGAATAATGACATGAAAGGAATGTTTGATGAGAATGTCGATCCAGTTTTGACTTATGATGACTTCGCTCATGGGAATGGAATGATTTCAGCGGATATTTTCTTTAAGTACAAACCGACCATCAAGCCACTCAAGTTCAGCGAAAGCAAAGTCAGTGATACGGATAAAGGTGTTTCCAAAAAAAAGCAGTACAAGGATATACTTGAGATGGAGACACTCGATGACTACAATAGGAAGAAGAGAATCATCGACATGAGAAATGGACTTGTGGAGATCTTGAAAAAGTTGTATTATGAGAAAAATGGCATCTTTAACAATTTAGCTAGCTGTATCAAATCCTACTGCTATAAGAACCCAATGGATCTAAATATGCTCAGTGATGTGCTCAAAATAAATTTCGAGAACCTCAAGGAGAAGAAGATCAGCGACCCTGTTTCGAGAATCGTAAGCTATCTCGACAAGGTGGGCTCTCAGACAGACTCGCCTGTAGATAACTCCTCCCAAGTGGGGGCCGCTGAACCAGTTGGTGGCACCCCTCGATGGGAGAAGAACAAGCGAATCCTGCAGAAACTGAAAGCGCTGTTACATCTGGGCTATCAACAGGCGTACGATAAGGAACTTGAAATCGACGAGAGGACAGAAAAGTACACCGCGCTGAATGAGAAAGCAAAAGAGTACAATCTTGATCGGCTCTTTACCGAGAGCGATAAGGTCTTGAAGAAGGTCGCCGTGCTCACCAGCGCGAAGGAGAGCGCCAACGAGGTATTTGGGAACCAGGCTTCCATCTTCGACGTATACAATGAGGAGGAAGTGTCCAGTGGGAAGGGTGGCGCGGACAGTCAGAAGGGGGAAGTATCGAGCGACAAAGGCGAGGTGGCTGCTGATCAGGAGAAGATGAACAAAGGAAAAACACCGAAAAAGGTAGAGAGAAGCAATCTTGATGAGCAGGAGGACAACGAAAATGACAAGAATTACCCCGACGAAGGATACGAGAGCGGCAAAGAGAACGGAAATAACACGGTAGAAAAGGAGAACAACGTGGGAAATGTAGAATCTGTTGAAGAGAAGGGGGAGAAACAGAAGGACGGAGAAAGTGAAGATGCCGACGGTGTAAATGCGGGAAGTAACAAAGAAAGTGACAGTGATGAAGTTGATCAAGATGGAGGCTTCGATGACGCGGGAAGCACCGATGGAAGTGATCATGAGAATGACCAAAGCCACAAGGAGGACGACGGTTTGTTGGAAGGGGACCTCCAGAAGGACAAGAAGGAGGAAGCAGCAGAGGGGGAACTTGCACCAAAGGAGGAAGCAGCAAAGGGGGAACTTGCACCAAAGGAGGAAGCAGCAGAGGGGGAGGTTCCACCAAAGGATGACACCTCAGATAGGGGCTCCACAGATTCGACCGCTGCCGATGAAGCCGCCACTGATACCGCCACTGGAGAAGTGGCCCAGCCTGCGGAGACGGACCAGAATGATGTCCCAATCACAGGCGAAGAGAGCAACGGTGCAGAGGATGCGGCCAAGGAAAACAGAGACGAAGCCCAGGCGACGGACCAACCCACGGAAGAGGCAGTGGTGAAAGGTGACTCGGATGAAGGGGAATCGGATCCGAAGACAAAGAAGAACGGTGATGAGGGCGGGTCCATCTTCCAGGGCATGAGCAGAATCCTTCTAGCCGTTTTGGCCATCCTCTCCCTGAAGTTCTTCCTTTAAGAAGGCCCACGCCTACGTATAGACACATCTATGTATATGTGTGTACTCTGCTCAGACAGTCAGTTTGAGAAGTTGTAGAAACCAGGACAGGTCCCCCTCAGGACAGTTTTCTTTTTTATTCGATGATTCCTCATGTATGATTATGCTCACTCCATAAAGAGATGATTCTCAGTTGTGGCATTTTTTCTTTCAAATGGAGGAGAAGTCTTCTTTTTAGATTTTCTTTTTTTTGACTTTAGCAGCTTTAAAATTTTTTGCTTTTTTGATTTTTCACTTTTTGGCTTTTTTTTTTTTGTTTTAAAGCTTTTCTGCTTTGTATCTTTGCGCAGTTTATTAACCCTAACGTTGATTTAATTCGTTGACTTCGCCCTTACTTCGTCTTCACTTGGTTTTCATTTTTTTTTTTTTTTTTTTTTTAATTTACATTCCAATTTTGAATGATTTATTTTTTTCTTAGTTTTTTTTATTTTCAAATTGTGTATAGTTAGACTTTTTGAAAAAAAAAAAAAAAAACGAAATGAAGACAGAGATATAACGTAAATGGATACATACAAAAGATCAAAGAAGAAGCCTCTTCCCCGCTGGAAAACCGCTCTTCTTTTCTTCCCTTTTTTTTTTTTTCTTATTGTTTTTTTCTCCCCTCAGAGCTGCAGGAGGCGTGTGAACTCGTCCCGCTTCCTCTGATTGTTTTTCTTCAGCTTGTCTATTTTGTTCTGGTAAATTATGTTCACCTGCCAGGGGGTGGAAGGGATGAAGCGGTAGAAGGCGCGAGGGCGTAAGAGGCGCTAGAGAGCCCTTCATAGCTATACTCCGTTTCTCAACTGTGGTACCTCGGAAATCTCCCGCTCCGCGTTTTTCCTCTCCTCCTCGATCAGCTGGTCCGTGTCTAAAATTTCTCTCTTCAAAGAATTGATGGCCTCTTTTTTTCGCTGTATTTCTTTGCGTAGCTCGCTGATCGTGTGGTTTCTTTTTATTTCCTTCTTTAAGTTAAAGGCCAGAGATGACCTAAGGGGGTAGGAGGGTGAAGGAGGTGGACACACAGTGGCACCCCGACCAGGACAAAACGCCAATGGGGATCACGTGGAGAACATATTGGTGACATTTTTGGAGAAGGCCACAACTTGGCCTGACGTATGAGTAACTGCGCGCGAAGAAAACTCACTTGACCAATTTGTGGTAGTGGAAGAGGAGCATGGTGTTGTAGTTGAAGAGCTGCCTGAGGAGGGATCCTCGCTGGAAGCACGTCACGGAGACCTGCACGTGGTGGTCAAAGTGCGCGGCGGGGAAGGACATAGTGGTGAAGGTGAGCAGCTGTCCCCATCCATCCCACACCTTTCTCACCAATTTGAACCATGGAGCAGGAAGAGGTGGTAGAGACGTAGAGAAGCAGCGATGCAGGCAGGATCGACTTACCTGTCTGCAGAGCTCCATAAAAACGGACAACAGATCCTCCAGAAAGTCCTCCCCGATGAGCATATTCTGAACATACATCTTCGACACAATGTCGTGTATTTTTTTAAGACAAACAGTCACGTCCTCTTCGCTTGTCACTCTGCACACGTAGGAAATCTTGTCTACCTTTTTGTCCTTCACACATTTGAGTGGAAACATATTGTATAGGGGCTCATTGAAGAGGGCATTTTTCCCATCATTTTTATACAGCACATTTGACCGTAAATTTTTTCGTATTTCCTGTATGACGCGGACTATGTTCTTATCTTTCACGCAGTTTTCTCCTTTCGCACTTTTGCTTTCTTCCTCCTCATGCTCGACAAGTATGCAGTTGTCGTACTTTAAGTATTTGTTGTACCGTGCTAGGTAGTCCTTCATTTTTTTGGCACATTGTGGGGGAAGGGAAGAAAAACGATCGGTTCGCTGGTACGCAGTTACGCTGGGACGTCGTTACACCGTTAAGCTCATGTGGACAGTTCAGTGGGACGTTAGAGTTGTTCGCTCCACTCGCACCGCATAGTCCATGTTGTAGATGTTTCACATTTTAGGGGGTGTTTAAGGGGGAAATTTGCATGCTGCTTCCGTGCAGGCACGCGCGTGCTATGCGGGGATAAAAGCCACTCCATATCCGCGGTGCAAAAAAAAGAAGACATACACGTGCGCACACAAGTGTGGTGAACCGCGCACAGAAATGCCGAACCGCACACACGAATAGTGAACCGCTCACTCATGAGGGTTGACACAAAAAAAAAACGAAAAAACTAAACAAAAAATTTTATCACATTATTTTTACACATGGAAAAAAAGTAGTGGATCTGAGAAACGTCGCAGCTTCGCACTGGGACTGCGCCGTTTCGCTCGCCCTTCCTCCTGGTCCTCCTCAGCGCAAGCATCATATGCTGCCTCTCTTCACATGATAATCGCGCCCTTTTCATATATCGAGCTGCTGACCTCCTTGAAGGGAAGGATAAAGGCATTGTTCACAAAAATTTCGGGCTTCAAAATGACGTTCTCGCCCAACACACACAGTCCCTCGATGCGCGACCAGCTTCCAACCCTCGACTTGGAGCCAATAATCGAGTTCTCAATGTAGGAATACGAACTGACGGTGGAGTTGCTCATGACGCAAGAATTTTTGATCCGACATCCTTCTCCAATGGTGACGTTTTCTCCCAGAACGACGTTATCTCCCAAGACACAATTTTTTTCTATAATCGTCTTGGATGAAATCAACACATTTCCCTCGACTTTTGTGTGTACAAGGATTTCATCGAAAAGGTGGCTCTTGCTATGGGCGAATTGATCCAACTGGTTCATATCTTCAAATGTTATAAATAGATTTTTCTTGATGCCACTCTTTGCGCCATTTTCCTTGTCTGTTATGTCGTAGCATATGAGGAAGTGGTCACGCAGGATGTATTCCTCAGTCATAGGCCTAGCCGCCATTACCTTTGCAGTAGTTGCTTCCTTCGTTATTTCCCCTTCCCCTTCTCTGGCTCTTTGGCTGGTCTCCTCCAAGTCTTCTAAGTATAATGCCTGTCCTTTTAAAAAGTCCTGCGGCTTCCCAATGTCGGCCCAAAATTTATTTAATTTGTAGAAATACAACATGTTCTCATTGGCTAGCTGGGGAAATATTTCCTTCTCGAGCGACGTGTTCTTCAACGGAATGCGATTTAAGATTTCTCTGTTCAGTATGTAAATTCCTGCATTTATTAAGCTCGATTTAGGGACTTGCGGCTTCTCCTCAAACTTGGTAATTCGATTGTCTTCCGTTAGGACCACTCCGAACGCTCTGGGGTCTTCCACTTCTTTCACCTGCACAAACGGAAGGAAAAAAAAAAAAAAAAGGAAAAAAAAACTGTTTTTTCCTGAACGGTGCAGGTGAAATGGTAAATATGTGCGATGCACACGCCATGTGTATTAAGAAATCAACGCATAAGTTTGCAACCGATTCATACACAGACAACTAATATAAAGCAAACATACAGTGAACATACAACTGACAGACAACGAGCACACAGCAAACACACACGCACTCCGCCCCTCTTGATTTACCAAAATCGTTAGTGGCGCACTGCTCTTCTTGTGGAAGCTCATCATCTCCAAGAGGGGGAAGGAGCAAATAATGTCCGAGTTGAACACAAAAAAATCCTCGTACTTGCTCAAATACTTCTCTGCCAATTTTATTGGTCCTCCCGTACCCAAGGGCTCCTCCTCAATGGAGTAAATAATTTTAACGTTGTATTTTTTTTCCAGGTCATCCACAAAGTTCGTTATGTGTGTGGGTTTATAAGCTATGGCCAAAATTATTTCTCTGATTCCACATCGTGCCAAATTAAAGATCTGGTGTTCTAGTATTGGCCTGTTGCAGAAGCTGATTAGTGGTTTGGGGGTTGTCAGGGTGAGCGGTCTTAACCTCGTCCCGTACCCCCCGACTAGGATGAGCGCATTCATGTTCGCTCGGTTGCAAAGAAAGAAAAGTGTAGGTCACGATACGCACCAAATGACCCGCGTTACAGGGTACACACAAAGGAAAGAATATGTCCCAGCAAACGACAGTTGGTGGGAGAAAGAAAAGGAGAGGATGGACCCTCTGCCGTAGTAGGAGATCACTTAATTTGAGCAGCGAAAAAGAAAAAAAAGGAAAAAAAAAAGAAAAGATACCTACGAGCAACCACAGGTCTACGAGGTGCACATATACTGATGAAGCGAATTGAAACGTATAATCAAAGCCCAAATTGGGGTTTTTCAAAATGCACGCATGGTCGAAATGGGGTTGCGAAGAGGGTGGTGGCAGCATGAACAGGGGGTAGCAGTGAGCAACCGCAAGGAAGCAATTGCAAGAAAGCAATTGCAAGACAGCAAATGCCCACTCGGAAAGGTACATATAATTATAACAGGTTAATTGAAGGCACGCATGGGTGAATTTTGCGTTGAGCACTGAACCGGACTGTATGTCGGTACTGACGTGGGAGCGAGGGGGGACGTGTGAAAATGAGGAAGGACGCGAAAAAGAAAAAAGTCATTACAGTCTAAAAAAACAAAAAAAAAAATACCTACACTCTTAAAACGCGAAAAAAACTGCTCCTGTGTAAAGGTGAGAACTCCGACGGGAAGCTTAGTGGCAACTGTCAAACGGGCAGCCTTGCGTCGGCACGGAACATTCCTTTGCCAACTTGGAACACTGCCGCGAGTGCGACGACTGCCACGATAGCCAATATCTCAGTTTCGTTTGGCGCACGTGCATGCCTCCGCTTCAGTATAAAATACGATTGTTAATCACTGCCGTCTTGTTTAGCCTCCCGTCGCATGCTTATCTCACGTGGTACAGTTACACGAACAACCCTTCGCTTGCTGGCTTTATCCTTTCTTTGCTTTTTCCGTCACGCGCAAATTGTTACGTAGCAACGAAGGATGTTTTAACTCGAACGAGCGAGCACACATTCGTATGAACATATGAACATGTACATTTGCGAAAAAAAAAAAAAAAAAAAATTAATTCTCAGGTTAAGTCATTAATTGGTATGTGATTGCAAGGGGGGCGAGTTGATCTCTTTACATGCTTAGTTGCGCATACGTGGCAGAAAAAAAAGGGTTGGCAGCGCAGTCAGTAGCGCTTTCATCGGGGGGTAAAAACAAGCGACACGTTGTTGGAGGGCTACAAAAAAGAATACAGTCGAGTCAGGCGGGACCAAAAGGGCCTCGCCGCAGACGGTCTAGTTGAACATCAAGTCGAAGTAATTTTGGTCCTTGGCGTCATCTGCGGGAAGGGAAGAAAAGTGGGTGGGGGACACAACTCGTAAGTGCTTCTGCCTGTGCTGGTGCAGTCCCAGCTTAACCACTGCCAATGTGCGGACATCTGTATGTCCCACTGGCACACACGTTTGTATGTCTATTTGTATGCCCATTTGTATATGCCCCTTCTGTATGCCCATTTGTGCGGCCACTTGCACACACTTCCCAGGAGTAATGCCGCGCAGGGGAGATGCCACACACACACTCGGGGCAATAACTCAGTTGTGGGCGTGCACTCCGTCCTTACCTTTCCTTTTGTCGACGTCCACGTGCATAGCCTTGTTGGGAGTGCTTTCAAATAACAGCATGTCGATATTCCCCTTGGTCTTACTCATCTGCACATGGTCATCTGGTTTGTTTTCCTTCATGTCGAAGATATGTTTCTCATTTTTGTACAATTTTGGCACACCCTCTTCAAGAAGTTTCCCGCCACGAGCTTCCTTTGCCTGCTTGTGATCCATCCAACTGAGTCGCAAAACCTGTGCGACGGGTAAAGCAGTTGTGTGAAGGGAGGGACTGGAGCGTCGAAAAAGGTATGCAAATTTGCGAAGCGTAGTTACACATGAGGGAAAAAAAAAAAAAAAATACTTCCTCAATCGTTTTTTTGGCCAACCCGTGGGGATGATCATATCCTATGCTCACGGGTTAGCGAGACCGTCAACCACACGTTCCAGTTATTACGAGTGTGTGTCATTCCATTTATCTCAACAGTGTTTCCAAGGGGGCAAGAAAATTTACCTTGGCGTAGATACACGAATTCAAGCTAGGGATTGGCGAGGACTCTTCGCTGATGTCAACCCACGCAGGGGTGTTGTTATGGATGATTTTGAATCTGAAACGGAATTGGTGAAAGGAGGAAGGGTTGGTAGGCGACCTAATTGCGTGAACGATGGAGCAGACATATACATATGCATTTCTCGCTGGTGTATGGAAACACCCGTGGAAGGAGCACGAACCTGAAGTGGTAAGTGCCAACCAAGGGAAACCCATTTCGTATGTCATGTAACGTTATCGAATTTATCGGTTTGGGGAGGTAAAAAACGTTTGGTGAATTTTTGTCCTCTTTGTCATTAATTATGTTGTAAAAGACGACCGTCGTTTTCGACATTTTGATTTCTTCTACTTGGGGTTCGCCGTTACAGAGGTGGTTACAGAGGCGGCTTCACAGGTGATTGCAGAGGTGGCTACAGACGCGGTCGGCGAAGCCCTACTGCATGGGTAAACCAGGCTGTTATTCAAATCCGAGGAGCACAGCTAGCCATACAGTTGAACCATGGTTGGCCGAATGCGTTTTCCTCCTTCTTTCCGTTCTGTGTAGCCTCCTTAGTGGTGCCGCGTAAGTTGGTCAGTTTGACAGTTTTCCCCCTTTGTGGGAATTCACGTGGTCGCTTGAGTGCGCGCACGCAATTGCGTTGTGCATTTTATGCTGCCAACTCGGGCGATTTACTTCGTCACTTTGCCACTCTGCTGCTTCGGTGCTTTACCAACTATGCCGCTTTGCCCCTTTATCGCTTTTTTTTTTTTTTTTTTTCCCTGTCAGCCCATGTCTACGAAGTGTGAAACGCAGCGAGGGTGGCAAAAATGTATGCCGTGCACGTTTCACCTGTTTGCAAAAAAGAGAAACGAACTGCCAACTGTATTTTCGTGTATGTTTATGTCCCCAACGGAAGCTCAAAGAGGTGCGAATGGTGGCTTGCGAGTTACGAACAAAAAAAAAATAATAAATGTGCCGTAACTGCGAAAGCTTGGGCGGTGCTACACGCGTATGCGCGCATAGGTAGGATATAAGAGCACATGCGGATTTGGGTGTGCGTTTCGTGGGGGGAGGGCTTCGCTCCTTCGTCACTTGTCATTTTTTACTCGTTATTTGCTCTTAGCCATTTGTCACTCTTTATTTGCTCTTGGCCATTTTCCACTTGGCCGATTCGGTCAAACGTTCGTATTTTTATTATATTTTTCCGGGGTAAGGCTGCACCAGGAGGAGGCGTGCTGAGCGTGGGGGCCGCTTGGGGGTCGCTTGGGGGTCGCTTGGGGGTCGCTTGGGGGTCGCTTTGGGGTTGCTTGGGACGGCCTCTGCGCTTGGAGGTTGTGTCAAACTTGAGTGCCATTGCGGTCATTAGTGGTTCGCCGCGGCGTCGCTGCAGTAACAATTGCTGTTTTATGGTAGGCCATTCGATTTAACGCCACTGATGATGAACACACCCCCTGTGACGATCGCCACGCGAAAGTCGTCGCTTCTCTGCGCGAACCCCATTTCCCCTTAACGGAACCCGTTTGATTGGCTTGCACGAAAATGAAAAAAAAAAAAAAGAAAAAA